CTGAGTCCTAAAGCTGCAGAGCAGGCAGGGACAGGAGAAGTTCGTCTGGTCCGATTAATCAGGCCCAGAGCCATAGATAGGAATCAGAGGAGTGACAGTGATAATAATTAGCATTGATGCAGCACCTGCTATGTGCCAGGCACTTTACTGATATTATCTCATTTGTTCTTGAGGACGGAATTCTGATTTTTATGCTAATCGATATGATATGCGTAATGCATATACTGATAGATTAGATTTTTCAGAATTGCCTCCCGGATGAGAGAGCTCACGGTGCAGCTTAAAATGATCCATCAGACCTTGATGAGGTTCCCAATCACCGGCATCCTTCTGCCTGCGTGCCTGAGGTGAAGTAAATCAGAGGCTGTAGACCCTGTTGCCGTCACAGGACTCTGGTCCTCTGACCCCCCAGCTAAGGACTTGAGCAATATTGTCCCGAAGGACTCCAGAACTGTTGTCTTCTGTTGGCGGGTTTGTCATGGGACACCGCCATGGCCCTGGGAACAATTGTATGTAATCCACCGTCCCCCCTCCCTCCCCACTTGTGACTTGTGTATATAACCTCTGTGTTCACTTCAGCAAGGTGGAATTCTGATCAGAACAATTCACGATTCGCAAATCTGTTCCTCATAATGAAACTCATTAATTAAACGGTTATTGATTGCTGGCACCATCTCTGGCCCGCTGCTTCGTCATTCTCAGGTGAGAGACTGGCTCAGTAGAATCCTGTTATCCATCTTCACAATGACTGAGGAGGGAGGCGCTATTATTATCCCCATGTTGTTCAGTCCTGTCTGACTCTTCATGATCCCATTTGAGATTTTCTTGGGCAGAGATACTGGAATGGCTGGCCATTTCCTTCTCCAGCTCATTTTACAGATGAGGAAACTGAGGTAAATAGGGAAAAGTGACTTGCCCAGGGTCACACAGCTAGTAGGTGTCTGAGGCCAGATTTGAATGCAGGAAGATAAGACTTCCTGACTTTAGGCCCAATGCTCTATCTACTGCACCACCTAGATGCCCTTATTCCCATTTTACAGATGAGGAAACTGAGGCAGAGGCTAAGTGATTTGCCCAGGGTCACACAGCTGCTAAATGTCTATGCTCTATCCATTGGACACCACGAACTGGAAGGTGTTAACTAGGGAAGTGCCCATGTTCTAGGAGGAGGAGGGGATGGAGGTAGGAGATGTTCACTGGGGCTCCCTTCCAAAGGGAGACAGCTAGGTAGTGCAGTGGATAGAGCGCTGGCCTGGAGTCAAGAAGACCCATCTTCCTGAGTTCAAATCTGGTCTTAGACACTAACTGGGTGACCCTGGGCAAGTCACTTTATCCTGTTTGCCTCAGTTTTCTCATTTGTAAAATGAGCTGGAGAAAGAAATGGTGAACCCCTCCAGTGTCTTTGCCAAGAAAACCCTGCAATTGGCTCACAAAGAGTCAGACACAATTGAAATGACTCAACAACCCATTTCTAACCCAGGTTGGGCACTCTGGGAGAGTTCCTTATCCTCTTTTTTCCCCAACGTGCCTCTGAGTTAGGAAGGGGATGATGCCTGGATAGGTTCCTGCCTCTGGTTAAGCGAAATACCAGATACTGCAGTTAGCAAGTTGTAGAACTAAGCAGACCTTGAACCGGGGTCTCTGGACTCTGAGTCGGGGGTATAGCCTAGAATCACAGAGTAGGTAGGTCAGGGAACACGGGGTGAGGCAGGTGGAGGCGGGACTGGGAGCCTTGAGATCTGACCTTTGTGGGAGCCGGAGCCCTGAGCTCTCCCACCAGGAACACCTGCTGGGGCAGGCCTACCCCTCCCCTTATCCCTTTCTTCCTGCTCTCTCCCCCCCTCCCCCACCCCGGTTTTCCCATAACTGGGACACTTCATTCTAAAGGGATTTGACTTCCCTAGAGACAACTGGAGATGGGTGAGAAAGAGCCAGAGGATTAGACTGAGAAGATGATATGAAGGGAAGGGCAGGGCAGTAATGAGCTGAGCTCAGGCTTGGGAGGGCCAGGAGTGGAGGTGGGCCCCAGGGATTTATGTCTTCAGAAAGCCCAGGGCCCAACAGGAGGAGAGGTGGGGGGGAGAGCTGCTCAATTTCTCCCTATTGTGCCCTGAAAGCGGATATCGCTGGCACGGCCCCGGCTGGCCAGAGCTCTGGGGCTTTGATACCCCACCTGGAAAACGGACCTCCCAAGGGCTGGGAACTGAGATTGGCTGACCTGGAGTGGGGGTGGGGGCTTAGGCCACAGATGTTTGACAAAGGACAAAGAGTGGGAGACAAGGAACTGGGGGATGGGAGACATGGGACAGGGTGGGAGACATGGAACAGAGGATGGGAGACGGGAGACATGGGACAGGGAGATGGGAGACGTGGGACAGGGGGATGGGAGACATGGAAGGGGGGAAAGGAAGATATGGAACAGGGATAGGAGACAGGGAACAGGAGTGCGTCGGGAAAGGTTTTTAACAACTGCCTCTCAAAAAATGTGCCCACAACCCACTTTTAACCTGAAACAGCGTTGTCAGCATTTACTTAAGTTTAGAGAATCAGCAAAACAGATGTCAGGCTCAGATTTGAAGCACTTACCCATTCGACAACTGGCCCTCCAGAGCTCTTTAAGCTGGTTCTAGCATCACTGTAGACAGACAACAGTGTATGCTAGAACACCTGGGACACAGAACACCAGAGCTGGGAGGGGAACGGGGGACGTCAGGGCTGGGAGAGGCCTTAGAACCGAGACTGTCCACTTGAGTTTCAGACCCTATTTTGGATCAGCCAGTCCCTGCTCTTCTTTGCTGCACGGAAGGGACAGCCTGGGTGCTCTATCCCAGCCATAAAAGTTGGGACTGGGTCGTGTCAGCTTTGAGCTCTTCTGTTTGAGCCCTGAGCTTTCTGAGGCAGCTTGTGGCCCAGAGGATGCTTGGCTTGTGACTCTGTCCAATACTTGCTGTGTGACCAGGGCGGGGGCCTCTTAAGGTCCCTTCCACTGCCAAATAAGCTAGGTTTTCCTGAACTCTCTAGCATTTCTCCGAGATGCCCCAGACTTGGTTGGGGCTGGACTCTGAAATCCTTCCCAATCCAGGCCTCTGCTTCACAGACCTGAAAGCTGGAAGACCCGAGTTCTAATTCTACCTCAAATACTTAACTGGTCTCACTTAGCCTCTGCTTCCCTCAGTTTCCTCATCTGTGAAATGGAGCTAATAATAGCACTTGCCTCCCAGGGTTTCTGTGAGGTCCAAAGAAGTTAATGTAGGTAAAGTGTTTTTGCAAACCTTCCTGTGCTAAAGAAATGATAATTATTATGATTATTATGAAAATGAAGAGGGTGGTGCTAATTGATTCTCTTTCATTCTGGTCAGATGTGTAACTACCATTCCCCAGGCTGGAGCGCTAGCAAGCCTGGAGACTCCATTGTTCTGAGATTGGCACCCTCTGTGTTTGGTCTCGAGGACGGGGTTCCTTTGCGCCCACCATTCTTTCTCATCTGGGTGACGCTGGGGGTCAGCTGGTTAGCTCTCATTCCTAGAGGGGCCAGGAGGGTCCGGGCTGTGTCCTGCATTGCCCAGGACCAGAGTATATCTCCCCATGGACCTGCAGCCCCCGACATTCCACCTGGAGGTCAGGCCTTGGCAGCCCGGGGCCAGAGGGCCCCTGGAGTGGGGCGGGGGTGGGGCAGGGGTGGGGCAGGGAGTGTCTTTCCTGTCCTGCAGGTTGGAGGACAGAGCCGGCTCTGGCTTCTGGTCAGGGAAGCAGATGCCACTGATAAGACAGGGACTTTCACTGGACTCATTCAACCCTCCACCCTTCCTCCCTTTCCACATCACAGTCCAGATTCAGGGGAGTGGGGGTGGGGCCTGGGCTAGCCGAGAAACTGAGGCTGTGGAAGGAAGTCCCCTCTGCCTCTGTCACCAGTTTGCCAGGGAGCCTCAATCCCTTTCGCTGGGCCTCAGATTCTTTCTCTGTAGAATGAAGGTGGGATGAGATGGCCTATAGATCCTTCCCAGCCCAGTCTGTGGTTTATGGGATCTAGGGAGTGGTTGGGAAGGGAAGGAGGGGCAGGGTTAAGGACCTGGACAACCTTAAGAGGATGAGAAGAAAAAAAAAGAGATAGAAAATCCTGGGGCAGAGGAAGCTAAAGCCCAAACCAAGCCATGGTAGAATCCATAGAATTTAGAGGTGGAAGTGGTCTGACAGGCCCATTTTACAGATGAGGAAACTGAGGCCCACGGAGGTTAGGTGACTTCTTCCTAGGTTAGGCAACACAGGTAGGACCAGGTTTCCAACCCAATTCCTCAGGACTCTAAACATTTATTAAGCACCTAAGTGGTGCAGGGGAGATCGATGGTCATGGAGTCAGGAAGTCCTCAGTTCAGTCGTACTTACTCGCTGGGCAAGTCACTTCACCCAGTTTGCCTCAGTTTCCTCATCTGTAAAATGAGCTGGAGCAGGAAATGGTAAAACCACTCCAGTGTCTTTGCCAGGAAAACCCCAGCGGGGTCACAAAGAATTGGACATGACTGAAAAACGACAGCCACTTTACAACCCTGTTAGGTAGGTGCTGTTATTATCCCCATTTTACGGATGAGGAAGCTTGAGGCAAGGGTTTCCTGATTCCAGGCTCAGGATCTGTCTATCCTGACTATCCTGAGCTCCCCTCCCATTGCCTCCCACCGAGGCTGTGCTCCCATCCCCCTCCCCAGTTATTCAGAAGTGGGACCTTTGGCCTGAGAAGTGACTTGACTCTCCCCAAGTCACCCAGCCTGGCAGTAGCAGAAGTTGGAAGACGTCTCAGTTTCCTCCTCTGTAGAATGTGTGTGTGAGGGGGAGCGGGGGTTGATGGCTTCCGAGGGTCCCTCTGGCTCTAAGACTGGGGCAGGGACGGCGGCAGCAGCATCAGGAGCAGCTCCCAGGCTAGGGGCCTGAGGGCCCCGGGAACGCTCTCCGGTCCTGGCTCTGTGACTTCCGGCAAGCCGCTGCCTGTCTCTGGGCTTCTCGGGTTTCCTCCTGCAAGATGAGAAGGCCGGGCTAGCTGATCCCCCACGCTCCTTCCAGCGTGACGTCCTACGGTTTGGGGAGCGGAGCCTGCTCCGCTCCCCCGTGCCCGTCCCCCTCTCCCTCTCGCAGCTGTCCGGCCCCTTTAAGGGGCGGCGCTTGGCACCGGGCCCCCGCGGCCCGGGCAAAAAGCCTGGGAACTGGGCCGCCGGGGGCGGCGGGAGAGTGGGTCCGGACACCCCTTGAGCGCTCTCCAGGCTCGGGCTCCGAAGGCACCATGAGCGGTCGGGTCGGGGACCTGAGCCCGCGGCAGGAGGAGTCTCTGGCCAAGGTGAGCTGTCTCTGCGGGCGGCCCGGGCAACCCCCGGGGGTCCTGGCGAGTGTGGATGGTGCGCCGCCCACCTGCGCGCCCTGCCCGTGCCCGGCACCCCAGCCGGTCAGGCGGCTGGCACTGGCAGCAAGCACAGGCGGCGTCCCTTCCCCCGCGCATGCTATGGCTGGCCGGCAGCTGGGCCGGGCTGGCCTGGGGAGGACAGTCCGAGCCGGGCTGGGCTGCGGGGGACAACCCGGGCCGAGCAGGGCTGAGTTGCGGAGGGCAGCCTGGGATGGAGGGGACAACCCGGGCTGGGCCGGGCTGGGCGGGGCTGGGGAGGGCAGCTTGGGATGGAGGGGACAGCCCGGCCCGGCCCGGCCCGGGCTGGGCTGGGGAGGGCAGCCAGGGATGCGGGGAGGTTGCGGAGGGCAGGCAGAGGTGGGATGGGGAAGGCAGTCTGGGAAGTTCCCTCCTCTCCTTTCCCAGCTTCTCTCGTTCCCCCTTTCCTTCTCCCCCTCCCCGTCTCTCTGTCCCTCTCCCTCTCCCCAGGAGAAAAGTGTTGCCCGGGGGCACAGGAAGCCTTCCCCGGCACAAAGGAGGCATTCAGGGCTGGGCAGAGAAGGTGCTTTGCCGTCCTCCCCCCCCCCCCACTTCCTAGAGGTTGAGGAGAAGGGGGAAGGGTTCCTCTTACTCGAGTTTCCAGGGGGTCACCTCCCGATGGAGAAGAGAAAGGGGGCAAAGAGGGAGGGAGCAAGGAAGCAGGAGCCCGGGGAGGAGGGGCGGGGGCATCTCCTGGCACTGGGGCTGCTCATCCCTTCTTGAAGGTGTGGGGGTAAAGGAGGTTCTCCCAGAAGCCGGGGCCCTTGCAGTGGGAGGGAAGCAGAGGGGAGGGGAAGAGTTCAGCTTCTGGTCCCGAGACCCCCAGAGCCCGATGAAAACGTGCTCTCTGTCTCCTAGTGAGGGGAGGAGGATCCGAGAAGAGAGTTAGGTGCTGCTCCGAGTTCCTGGGCCGGGAGCGGGAAGCCTCGGGCCACAGGGTGGGTAGAGGACCAGGCTGGCCCAGCCCTGGGTCCGGGGTCAGAGCCAGTCGAAGGACAGTTGCACGCGGACTTGTTCCCTTCCTCTCCCCTCCCCCTCCTCCCGCTGAAAACTGGCTCCATTCCAAGCATCAGTTTAGGAAGGGGTGGGAAGATGCTCTGGAAGGGCCTCCCCTCCAGGACTTCATCGCTAAGATCAGTCTCCTCCAGTCAGCCAGTCTGTGTTCTAAAGGCCGTGTCAGGGTGAAAGGCCCCTCCCAGATCTAAGATATTATTTGTCAGGTTCCTCCTGGGGCTGCCTCTGGTTGAGGGAGGGCCCCTGTGCCTTCCTCTGGGCAGTCTACAGCCCGCTTCCTGGTCCCCAGTTCTACCCCAGCTGAGACTTTCTTTTGGAAGTTGTCTTGGGTCCCCAAAAGCTGTCCCTTCTGGTTTCTGTCTCCTAGTCACCGGGCCCCTGGGGCTCGGCAGTCTGACAGGGCCTGATTGGTTCCTTAGCCCTTGCGCTCTGGGTTGGCAGTGCCCAGGGAGCCTTGGTCCTGGATGCCACTCAGGAAGGTGGAGCTGGATCGAATCTCCTTAGGCTGTCCCACTGACCTGCTAGGGTCACATGGAGGATGGGATTAGCCTGAGATTAGGGCCGGGCTGGGAGCTTGCCCTCCCCCTCTGATTGAGGGCCTGGGGTGGTGAGGGGGCAGGCAGTGGGCCTCAGGCACCATAGGGTGAAGGTGGCCATCTCCTATTGGTTTCCTGTGGTTGCTGCCCTGAAAGGTGAACGACCAGAGGGTCAGGTGAGGAAGGCCAGCTGCCATCTATGCCCCAAAATGGCATCCGTATCTGGCAGGGTGGAGGTTGGGGGATGGGTGGGAATGTGTCAAGGGAGGCAAGTCAACAAGCCTTTATTAAGTACCTACTACATGCCTGGCACCTTGATACCTCTTTGAGCCAGAAGTGTGAAAGACCGAGTGAGGCTTGGGGGACCAGGAGCTGGGTATCGATGACACGTTCTGAACATAGAGGCATAAGAAGCAGTCCAGACCTCTCATAAGGTCCTGAGGAGGACCCAAGACTTCCCTCAGCACACACGGCTCGTCCAGGCTCTCCGACCCCAGGGAGGGGATCCTCGAGTTAGGTCTTTCTGGTCCCCGTTTTCAGACAAAGAAGCTGAGACCAACAGAGATTTAGTGATTTGCCCAAGGCCACCGAGCCAGAGAATGTGGCAGCTGGGATTTGGACCAGGCCTTCTGACCCTGGGACAGGCCTGCTGCCCCCCTGTTCTCTGCCCCAGCCAAGCCCTTCTGGAGTCTGGGTCTGTCGTGTGTGTGTGTGTGTGTGTGTGTGTGTGTGTGTGTGTGTGCGCGTGCGTGCACGTGTGTGTGTGTCCATCTTAGGACAGCATATCGGCACACTGGGAAAGGGGGATGCCGTAGCAGAGAGACAAGTAGACTTGAGTCAGGGTGGCCAGGCCCTTGGGGGTGACTCTGGCCAAGTGACTCAGGGGCCCAGGCCTTTGGGACTCTTGAGCTGATGAGCAGATACCATTTTTAGAGAGAGTTTCTTCCCCAGCCTTAGACCTTTATTAGCTGTGTGTCCCTGGGCAAGTCACTGAATCACAGTCTGCCTCAGTTTCCTCATTTGTAAAATGGGGATAATAATAGCACCTCTCTCTCAGGGTTGTTATGAGGGCCAAATGAGATTGGAGTTGTAAAGGGCTAAGCACAGTGACTGGCACACAGTAGGTGCTTAATAAATACTCATTTCCTCCCTTCCTTCTTTCCTTCCTCCCTCCATTTTTCCTCCCTCTCTCCCTTCCTTCCCTCTATTTTTCCTTCCTTCCTCTCTCCCTCCCTGCCTTCCTCTTTCCCTTCCTCCCTCCCTTCTTTCCTTCCTCCCTCCCTTCCTTCCTCTCTCCCTCCCTCCCTTCCTTCCTCTCTCCCTCCCTCCCTTCCTCTTTCCCTCCCCTCCCTCCCTTCTTTCCTTCCTTCCCTCCTTTTTTCCTTCTTTCTCTCTCACCCTTTCTCCCAGCTGGGCTTCTGGTGCTGGAAAAAGAGGTCCAGACCTGGAGCAGTTGGGGTTGACTTTGACCCTCTGTGGGACCCAGCTGGGAGCCCTGGGAGCCAGAAGAATAGAAAAGCAGTCTTTGGGAGGAAAGCCCATGAGACTTCCGGGAGCCTCCCTGCCTATGGTTTTTAACCTCTTTGCTGACGGCTTTTTTTTTTTTTTGGTCAGGCAATTGGGGTTCAGTGACTTGTGAGTGTTATGTGTCTGAGGCAAGATTTGAACTCAGGTCTTCCTGACTCCAGGGCCGGAGCTCTATCCACTGCACCTCCTAGCTTCCCCTTCTTTTTAAATTTTCTTGAGCGGTTTTATCAGAGCCCTGGAAACTGCTTTGGCCTCTGGGGATTAGAATACGATTTTAGTGAAGGCAGTTTTTGAGCCCCGGGGCCCAATCCTGGCTGGGCTGGCTGGCTACTGGAGCTCTTTGCACACTGTCTCGTTGAACCTCACCCTGGCTCATGGAGGCAAGGTGCTATTCTCACCCCCTTTTTACGGGGGAAGAGGCAGTGTGCTGTTGTGGCTAGCCTCAAAGCCCAGAAGGCCTGGGTTCAAGTTCAGCCCCTGACACCTCCAGACTGTCTGGAGTCCCAGAAGCACTCAGGGCACTTAGATTGTGTGTGGCAGAGGAGGGGCTGTGTTCCAGACTCCAGCATCTCTGCCAAGTAGCTGCCTCCACAGCTCGCTGGAACCTGGCTGGCACAGCACTGAGGGAGGAAGGACGCCTTCTCCCCATTTTACAGACGAAGCCCAGTGTTTGGCTCGTGTGAGAGTTGGGGGGAACCCCAACGCATCCTGACTCAAGTCCAGGGACCCCTGTTGGAGAAGCTGGGGGTGTTTAGCATGGAGAAGGGCAGCTAATCAATTGATTCATCAGCATTTATTACGTGTGCAGGGTCATGAGGGAGGGAGGCTTACCTTGTGAAGCTGGGCCTGTGGGAGGTGAGACTGGGAGCAGTGTGGGAGGGGGATTTTTAGTTCATTATAACCACTAGAAGCATTGGCGATGGAGTGGGCTGGTCCTGGGCTAATGAGCTCCCTGTCACTGGAAGTATGCAAGCCGGGCTGCATGCTTGACACAGGAAGCTGGACCGACAGCTGATGAATCCTTGTGATCTCTGAAGGCCATCATCTCAGGAGGCCCCAAAGAAGGGCTGTGGGTCGGGAGGAGGGGGCTGGCTGCTGGGGGCCTTACCTCTTTCCTACCTCTCTCCCAGTTCCGACAGAACATTCAGGATGTGCTGCCCCTGTTGCCTACCTCAGATGACTATTTCCTTCTGCGCTGGCTCCGAGGTGAGCTGGGACTGGGGAGGGGAACCCGTTGGGGCCAGGAACTTTTCATCAGGCTAACACTGAAATGGCATCCACAGAAACCCCTGTAGTGTCTGATGTTCTGAGATCTGAATCTTCAGCATCCTTTGGATGACAGAGCCAGGAGGGCCCTTAGAACCTTAGAACCTGGACTTGCCCAAGCTAGAAGGGCCTTTAGAGGGCCAGGGCCAGAAGGGTCCTTAGAACCCAGAAGCTAGAATGCTATACCTGGGAGGAGTTTAGAACCTAGAACCTGGAGTGTCAGAGCCCATAGAACCTGGACTTGCCCAAGCTAGAAGGACCTTTAGAGTGCCGGGGCCAGAAGGGTCCTTAGAACCCAGAATCTGGAATGCCTTGGCTGGGAAAGACGTTAGAACCCAGAATGTTAGAACCTGGAGGGCCCTTGGAGGGAATTTTGACCAGTCTCATTTTACAGATGAGGAAATGGAGGCTCATAAAGGAAATGACTTGCCCAAGGTCACACAGGTAGTGAGAGGATCAGGATTGGATTCGTTGAATCTGGGGCTGTGCCCTTCCTGCTGTCAGATGTATCTGAGGAGGAGGGGGAGGAGAATCTGGGGCCCCATCAGTCAAGGGCAGAGAGGGGGATGAGAAAGCAGGAGGCTGGTCTCTGGGGGAGGGATGCTTCTGGTGACACAGTTGTAGATGGTGGGGGAGGGATGTAAGTGCTCCCGGGGTCAGAGAGCCCAGCCTGGCCTGGATCCGAGGGGGCGGGGGACCTGCCTGGGCCCGGGGCTGTGGGTGCTGCAGTCAGGACCCACCGAGGCCCCCCAGGAGCCTCAGTCGAATGCTTCTCTGGCCGCGTCTTCTGTTTCCCACCCTTGGACTCGGTGTCTTCCGTCTCTTAGACGAAAGCAGTTGGCTGCTTGCCCCGGAGATACTTGGCACGGTGAAGTGGGAAGGGAGGGGGCTGTGTTCCCATCACCCTCTGGCCTGAGCTGTGGCTGAAGCGGTCCAGGGGATGGAGGCTAGAGGATGGGGGAGGGCCAGAGCCTGGGGGGGACAGGGAGGGTCTTCTGGATCCCAGCTCCTACACGAACCTTGTCCAGAGAGAAGGAGAGAGAGTTACCAGCAGCCTCAGCCGCCAGCATGAGGCCAGGGACGTGAGGAGCCCAGGCCCAGTTAAAGGGTCATGGTGGCTCCATGAGGGTCACCCAGGGAATGGCTGAGTGTCTTTCTCGTGGCTTCAGGAGTTTTCTTTTGGATCACGTCTCAGAGGGGAAGGTCCCAGGGCCAAGCCCAGGCTCAGCTCCTGCAGGACCACGTGTGTTTAGACCGTCAGAACTGGAAAACACTTGAGAAATCATGGAGTCGCCTGCCCCTGGCTTTTTACAGATGTGGAAAATGAGGCCTGGAAGGGGCTACGTGCCCTGACCAAGGGGACACAGCTTTTTAAAAAATTATTTTTTGTGACTATTTTTTTTTCAACTCCATGTTAAAAAAAGCTTTTGACATTTGTTTTTAAAAAGTCTGAGTTCCAAATTCTCTCCTCCTTGAGAAGGCAAGCAGTTTTATATAGGCTCTCTGTGTGCAGTCATGTAAAACGCATTTCCACCTTCTGGGCTGCCCCTCTCTTGATCTGAGGGAGACAGGATGTTTCTCCTGGCTGGGGGCTTGGGCTTGGAAGCCCCTCTGGTCAGTCAGGTCTCGGGCTTGTCCTGGCCTGGCCGGAGAGGCCTCCAGGCGTGGATGAGCCCAGTGTCCCGGGCCTTAGCTGGGAGGCCTGGCTGGGCCAGGCAGGAAGGAGGAAGCAAGGAGGCAGACCTTTAGGCAGGCACCTGGCACGTGCTTCTGCACCAACCCTGTACTTGAAGGCCTAGTCCAGGTTGGATGACTTCTCTCTCTGGACCTCCTCGGGGACTCGGGGAGGGTCCGGATGGCTCTCCCTCCCTGGAAGGCTTGTTGTGAGGGCCGTGGGGTTGGGATTGAACGTGGAGCTGCCTTTATGGTGTGGCATGGGGCCAAGATGAGCCAGGGCGGTCCCCTGGGACTGGCTGTGGGCCTGAGCTGAAGGGCCAAGGGAGAAGGTTCGGGATCCTGGGTGGTGCTAGGCTGGGGGACAAAGGTCAGGCAGAAGACCCTGGTGGTTGGACCCTGCTTGATAAGAGGTGACCTGAGATAAGGGAGTTTACCTAGAGCTCAGCTGGGCTCCCCTCCTGCCCAAGCCTCAACCTTCCTCTTAGCTTTGAGGAAGAAAGCCTGAGGCCTCCACTGAGTGCCAGGGAGACCTGGATTTGAATCTTGTCTCAGACCTCGTGTGACTGCTCAGCCTGTCTCAGTCTCTTCATCCATAAAATGGATATGATCGTATATCCACGAAGCCCCTAACTCTCCAGGTTGTTGTGGGGACCAAATGAAATCCTACTTGTAAAGTGCTTTGCAGGCCTCAGCTGGCCACGCCCTGGCCGAGGGTCAGGTAGCCAGGAAGCATGGGAGGAAGGATTTGAACCCAGGCCTTCCTGACTCTGAGGCTGCCATCCGCCCCCTCTGTCGGGCTGACTCTCGGGCTTTTTATGATGGTTATTATCATTCCTGCTACCGCCGGCTGGCTGGATGATCTTGGGCCAAGACAGAGTACGATGGAAAGGTCTCTATGTCTCTGGGGGCAGAGGACACGAGTTCAAAACCTACCCCTGGCACTGACTATGGGCCCTGGGGCAAGTCTCTTGGACGTAGCTCTCTGGACCTCAGTTTCCTCCTCTGTAAAACGAGACGGTTGGCCCGCGGTCCCCTGACGTCCTTTCTGTTGTTTGGTTGTTTTTCATCCGTGTCCCACTCTTGGTGACCCCATGGGGGGTTTTCTAGGCCATTTCCTTCTCTGGCTCGTTCGACAGATGAGGAAACTGAGGCAGAGAGGGTGAGGCCACTTGCCCAGGGTCACTCAGCTAGTGCCTGAGGCTGGATGGACTCAGGTCTTCCTGACTCCGGGCCCTGAGTGCCTAACCAGGTCTAAAGCGGTGTTCTTTCTCTGGGCCTCAGTTTCCTCTCCTGTCAGATTGGAATCATGTTGCGCCTGCTTCTTGCCATGAAGGGGCTTGGCAGATTCTGAGGTTTCAGAAATCGATGTGGTCATTACCAGGGGCCTTCCCAGGCCTGAGGTGCCATTCACCCCTCCTCTCCCTGTGGGATCATGTAACTCACAGGAAGAAAACTGCCAGGGGCCTGTAAGCGGTAGGGACCCCTTGGGTTTCAGCCTGCTACGCTCTTTGCCTCCTTCCCCAAACTGGCAGGTGGGTAGTGTAGGGGCTGACATTTCTGTCTTAAAGAAAAGGAAGCTGAGGCTGAGGAGGTCCCATTGAATTAGGCTAGTAGGAACCTAGCCAGACCTGCAAAGGACCTCCGGGCCCATATCATCTACTCCCTCATTTTACAAAGGAAATGACTTGCCCAAGGTCACACAGACCTTCAGGAAGCCTCAGGGGTGTTGAGCCCGGGTCCTCAGAGGCTCAAGTGCTGGAAGGGGCCATACAAGGCATGCTCTCAGACCTCTCCATTTTACAGAAATGACAGAGCTGGGATCAGAGTGAGTCTGATTAAGTCACTTAATCATAATGAGTGTTTTCTTGGATAATTCACTCCGGTGTGTGATTTTGTTTAAAATTTTCGAGGCAACGTTTATTAATGATATTGGCTCGTAGTTTACTTTCTGCATGTTAACTTTCCCTGGTTTAGTTATCTCTGGGAGACAGATCCAAGGATTTGTGAGGCTCCACTGCCCCTCCATCCCTGGGGATGCTCCCTTCCCGGGCCTAGCCTTTCCTCACTCTAGCTGCCATGGTCACCTTTGAGCACCTGGGTGTGTGGGCCGGAGTCCTCCAAGAAGGAAGATAAGCCTGGAGCAGGGGGAGGGCTGGCTGATAAAGGAGCTCAGGGTTCACCCATGTCGGGGACAGAGAAAGATGAATGAAGCCAGGCCCTTTCCTGACCCTGCAGCTCCAACCCCTCCTGGTGGACCTGGTGCCCCAGGCGGGATTGTTATAGCACCATGGGCTTGAGGCTGCAGGACACCTGAGAGATGATCAGGACCCCAGACTGACCCTCCACCCATCTCATCCTTTTATTATCACCACTGCCTGTGTGACCTTGGACAAGTCACTCCCCGTATTTTACAGTAGAGGAAACCGAGGCCTACTTCCCCAACCTTGCTCTCTCCACCCAACCCCAAGCCTCCTTCTAAGGACAGAACCTTAGAATCCCCTAAACCCAGGCCCCCATGAGTGCAGGATGGCTGGGGCTGATGGCCGAGGAGGGAGGATGGATAAGGTTCAAAGGAAGGCCTCGGTCCAGCGACCTCGCCATGACCCAGTCTTTTCTCATTGCAGCTCGAAGCTTCGACCTGCAGAAGTCCGAGGCCATGCTGAGGAAGGTGAGGCTCCTTCAGCTCCTCTGCCAGCCCTCCGCCTCCACCCTTCCTCCTCTCCTCTCATGTCTCTTCACTCCATCCCAAAAGGGTGGTTCTGGTGAAATTGCTCTGTTAAAGGCACTTGATGGCGTCCTTGACCAGATGTAACAAGATTCAATGACTGCTCATTGAGCTGAATTGGAATCAAGCCTCCCGGGGTCTGTGATTCTGCTGGAGGGGGTCCTCACGCCCTCCACCAACCCGGGCCCGGATGGCTCTGTTCCTTAGGAGATGCTCTTCTGGGGCTGCCACAGCCCCCCAAATTCATCCACCTGTGGGCCTCCTGGCAATGAGGCTCCCTTGGCTAGGCTGGGCCTCAGACCACTTGTGGAGCCTGTCCCCTGGCCTCTCGTTGACTCCTTCCTGGCTTGGTGGTCATAATAAAAATAAAAACAACTTCCATTTCCATGCTAGGAATAGCACTTAGGCGACTCTGTGAGGTAGGGAGTGTCAGGTTATTATCCCCATTTTACAAATGGGAAACTGAGCCTTAAGTGGCTAAGTGACTTACCCATGGCCATTAAGTGTTGGCGAGTGGGTGGGATTTGAACTTGGGTCTTCTTGACTAAGTGCTCTTATTCAAAGTGACAAGCTCCCTCTTGAGATTGGAAATTGCCTCAGCTTATGTCCCCTTGAGAGTCTAGGGTCACCTCCAGCCCACAGTGAGGCAGTGGTGGAAGAGGTTGGTGGAGGACATATGTTAAAAGGAACCATTATGGAATTATGATTATTATGGAGGTTGTGTATTATCTGTGTGGGTATACCCTCCACTATTGCAGATTGCAGCCCACCCAGACATTCTCCTCCTTGGTGACCCTTGTCCACTTTCTTAGGAAGTCCTCATGAGCAGTCTGGGGACCTAACTCCAGCTCTCTTGACCTTGCTGAATACTGAGGAAAGAGTAGCCAATTAGAGGCATTGCAAGGATATCATTGGAGGAGGAGGCCTGGCCGTGGGTTATCCCTTGATCTCATCACCTGGCTCTTCTTGTAGACTTTTTCTATTGTCATTGATAGCAAGGACACTGAGCATTTTCAGGGTCACTAGAAATTTCTGTCTTGGGGGAGAAGGAAGGCATCGATAGGGAGGCCTGTATCTGGCCTGGTAAGATTAGTAATCAACGCCACGTTTTTGAGCGTTTTCTCTTGTACAAAGTTCTGTCCTGTGAGATAAGTGTCCCGGTGAGGGAGGGGGCATGAGGGGAACCCGAGCTAGTCACACAGTCAGGATAGGGTGGAATAAGGATTTCAATCTGGTTCTTGTGACTCCTGGCTGAGTTGTCTGGAAGGCTGTCCTTGTGGGAATGAACGCTTTCAGAACATGCTGCCTCTGTGTGTGTGTGTGTGTGTGTGTGTGTGTGTGTGTGTGTTTTTCACAGCACGTGGAGTTCCGGAAACAGAAGGATCTTGAAAATATTTTGAGTTGGCAGCCCCCAGAGGTGAGGACAAAGTACCTACTACCACCAGCCCCGCATGCCTACCCAGTTCCAGTTCTGCCAACCCCCAAAGGGGCTGGGATGCTAGACTCCTCTTTGAAACAGCAAAGTCTCTGGGGACCTGGGATGGACCCACATTCCCTGAGGGCTCCTCCGTCCTGGACCTTCCCACCCTTCCTCTGGCCGGGCATTGAGAGGATAGGCAGGGTGGCCTGCTGCCCCTGTCTCCACACAGGTGGTCCAGCAGTACCTGTCTGGGGGGATGTGCGGCTTCGACCTCCATGGCTGTCCCGTCTGGTACGATGTCATTGGGCCGCTGGACGTCAAGGGGCTGCTGCTGTCTGCCTCCAAGCAGGATCTGCTCAGGACCAAGATGAGAGACTGTGAGATGATCCAGCTGGTGTGTGCCCAGCAGTCAGAAAAGGTGGGTGGAGGTGGACGGGACCCAGGGCATCGCTCTCCCTCCGTCCCCTGAGATACGGCCTGCTTGGGGGAGAAGCCTGGCGTCAGCCCCTCTGGAGCCCTGTTCATCGATGAGAGGACAAAGGAGGCGGTGGCGTGGTAGAAAGGGCCAGTCAGCCACAAGCATTTATTAAGCGCTTCCTGCGTGCCAGGATAAAAAGAAAGGTGAAAACACAGCCCCTGCCCTCAAAGAGCTTACAAGCTAATGGGAGAGAGAGGTTGTATGTCGCTATGTACAAACAAGACGGGGAAATAGAGAAGGTAATTCTGAAGGGGAAGACATAGCTGGGGGGACCTGGAAAGGCCTGCAGAAGGTGGGCTTGGAGCTGAAGGAAGCCTAGGAAACTCAGACGGTGAGGTGAAGGGCTAGAGCATTTCTGGCAGGGGGCACTGCCAGTACAAAGGCTTGGAGTTGGGAGACGGAAAGTCATGTTGGAGAAATGGCAAAAGGCCAGTTCATGGGATCTGCAGGTCATGGAGGGAGGGTATGTGTGAGAAGACGGAAGAGAGAGGAAGGGGCCACGTTGGGAAGGGCTTTAAATGTCAGGCGGAGGATGTTCTATGTAATCTGTGTGTGGGGCATCAGAAAGGCTAGACTCTGCTCCTGAAGTAACTGGTCACAAAGCCTTGGCAAATTGCCTCTTCCGTCTCTGGGAAATGAGGGAATCAACTAAATGATTTCTAAGGCCCCTCCCAGCCCTGACATCCCCTGTTCTAAGTGCCCTCTGTTCTAAGGCCTCTCTCACCTCTGACATCCCCTGTTCTAAGGCCCCTCCCAGCCCTGACATCCCCAGTTCTAAGTGCCCTCCCAGCCCTGACATCCTCTGTTCTAAGTGCCCTCCTAGCCCTGACATCTCCTGTTCTAAGTGCCCACCCAGCCCTGACATCCCCTGTTCTAAGGCCCTTCCCAGCCCTGACACCCCCTATTCTAAATGCCCTCTGTTCTAAGTGCCCTCCCAGCCCTGACATCCCCTGTTCTCAGGCCGTTCACCTCTCTGACATCCCCTGTTCTGAGGCCCCTCCCAGCCCTGACATGGCACGACCCTGAGAAGGCAGGGAAAGGAGGAGAGGGAGGCGTATGTGAGTGGCTTCACAGCTCCTTTTTTCTCCCACAGCTGGGGAAGAAGATCGAAACCCTGACCATGGTGTACGACTGTGAGGGGCTGGGCCTCAAGCATCTCTGGAAGCCGGCTGTGGAGCTCTATGGGGAGGTAAGAGGACCAGGACTTCCAGCTTCTGGCAGGGCAGGCTGTAGTGGGGAAGAGAAGGAACATTTATTAAGCTCCTGCTGTGTGCCAGGCACAGTGCTAAGTGCTTTATAAATATCATCCCGTTGGATCCTCACGACAACCCTGTGAGGTAGGTGCTGTCACGATCCCAATTTTTACAGCAGAGGAAACTGAGGCAGATAGAATTGCAGGGACTTGCCCAGTAAATGTCTGAGGCTGGATTTACACTCGGCTCTTCTTGACTCCAGGCTCTATGCTCTATCCACTGGGCCACCTTTAGGCAGTGAGTTCTCCATCACTGGGGGCTTCAAGTCGGGGCTATATAACCACTCGCTGGGGATATGATGCAGGCAATTCTTGTTCAGGTACAGGCTGGGCCGAGATGGGACCTCTTAGGTCCCTCCCAACTTTTTTTTTTTTAGTTAGGTAATGGGGTTAAGTGACTTGCCCAGGGTCACACAGCTAGTAAGTGTTATGTGTCTGAGGCCGGATTTGAACTCAGGTCCTCCAGAATCCAGGGCCGGTGCTCTATCCACTGTGCTGCCTAGCTGCCTCTCCTCCCAACTCTAGATCTAGGGCCTAATGACCCTGGGCAAGTCAGTTAGCTTCCTTGGGACTCAGTTTCCTCATCTCTAAAATGGGGTTGGATCTAATAGTATCTGAGGTTTCTGCTCTCTAGATCTGTGCCTCTGATATGGAAATTTGGCTTGTTTCTTACAGTCATGATCTGTGGTTGAGGGAGATGGGAGGGGGCCGGCCAGTTGGCCTGGGGAGCTGCACTGGCCTGGCCCGCTAGCTCTGGGGTCCTGGGGCAGAGAGTCCCAGGCTCTCCCACAACGTCGGCTTACCAGGCCTAGAATTGTTTGTCCTTCTTTCCTTTGGTCGAAGGTGATGCCTGGCCTCGGCCAGTGCTGGGGAGGGTGGTAAAGTAGGGTCGAGTCACCCTCAGCCAGCCCCATCAGAGAAGGATCAGGAAGACTCTAGGTGGGGCTGGAGTGGGGGCTTGGTGCGGCCCTGCCTAGGGAGAGAAAGAGGCTAAGAGTGTAACAGGTCTCTTCATTCTACCTCCAACCCACTTCCCCCAGTTCCTCTGCATGTTTGAGGAGAATTACCCAGAGACCCTTGGACGCCTCTTTGTTGTGAAAGGTAAGTAGGGGGCCTTGAATGGTGAGGCAAGTGGGAAGAGGCTGTGGGCACATCTGACATGTGGAGGTCAGTGAAGAGGAGGCCCAGGGGATGGGCCTGGAGTTAAACCTTGACTACCGGAGGGTGGTGAGCACGGCCATTAGGGCGATCACTCAGGGGCTCTTCATATTCACGCCCCCAGTGCTGAAGGCTTCCTTTGGTCATTCAAAACCTGTGCCTGTAGTATATAAAGCACTGTGCTGGGCCCAGAGGGAGATGATCATCAGATTGTAAACACTCTCATGTTTGAAAAGATCTGGGTTCAAATACCACTTCTGCCATATACTAGCTGTGTGAGGCAAATCAAATCCCTTTACCTCTCTGAGCCTCAATTTTGTACTCTGCAAAATGGGGATAATCTTTGTACTTTGAATCTGCCTTCCTGGGTTCAGCTGTGTGGGTGTGAGGCTCAAATTATATGATGATTACAAAGTAATTGGTAAATCTTGAAAGTGCTTTAAGCACCATATTAGGTGCTAGGGATGCAGAGAAAAATGAAATCAGCTCTGTCTCTAAGGAGCTTGCATTCTATAAACCCTCTCAACAGTAGGGAGAGATCAACCAACCAGCAAGCATATATTAAGCACCTACTATGTACCAGATGATGAAACAGTGCCTGCCCTCCACAAGCTTCCATTCTGTGAGCCCTCTCAATAAAGGGGATAACAGTCAATTAATGAAACCAGCATTTATTAAGAACCTGCTGTGTGCCAGACACTGTGCTAGGTTCTGGAGATTCAAAGAAAACAGGAAACAGTCCTTCCCTGAAGGAGCTCACAGTTGGGGTGGGGGCGGGTCAGAAAACGATGTAATCATGGACAAGTTAATAATTGGGGAGGGGGAAGGCTGGTGTCAGTGAGAGAGAAGGGTCAGGAAAGGCTTTTTGTGGGACTGGGGAGCACTGGAGCTGGTCCTTGAAGGGACCTAGGGTTTCCATGGGGCAGAAGGGAGGAGGGAGGGAATGGGGGGAGATGGGAAGGTGGAATGTCATGCCCAGCAACGGTTAAGGGGGCTGGTTTGGTTGGAACGCAGAGAGCATGCGGGGGAGTTGTGTGGGATTGGTCGGCTGTCTTTACTGAAGGCAGGGACTGTGCCTTATGTCCTGGGCTCTCAGATCTAGGGCTTAGAAGGGACCTGGAGGTCACCTAGTCCAACTTTCTTAACTTTTTGCAGATGAAGAAACCGAGGTGCAGGGAAGGGCGGGGCACGGGGATCTTTGTTAAATTTTTGTTTCCTAACCTCAATCGAGGTGTCTTGCCTAAGTCAGGTTAAATAAGTGTTTGCTTTAGTGGTTAGGTGAACATTTACCCCAGAACCTTGCAGGCTGAGAGAGGGATAGTGACTGCTCCCAGTCACTGCCTGAGAGGACAGGGTGCTGGGATCAATGATGAGGGAAGAGGGGGGAGCCAGGAAGGTTCCCTGGAGGAGGTGACGCTGGCCCTGGGCCTTCAAGGGTGGGGGAGGAGATTGCCTCCTTCTGGGGGGGAGGGGTAGGACAGGAGAGGTGAGTCTGGAGGCCTTGACATGGGCCTTGGGCTTTCAGGGTGGTGGGAAGAGAACACAAGGGCTCAGTAGCCAGGCACTGGGGGAAACCAAGGCTTTCTGCCTGGCTTCTGGGGGGCCACTCTGCAATGGGAAAGAGGGTGAAGGAGTCAGGCAGAAGGTGTGCAGGTAGGCAAGTGCCCCTCTCCTGACCTGGCTGCCTTGTGATTTCTCCCTGTGTCTGTTCTAGCTCCCAAGATATTCCCGGTGGCCTACAACCTCATCAAACCCTTCCTGAGTGAGGACACGAGGAAGAAGATCATGGTTCTGGGAGGTGAGTAGCCCCTACATCCCTCTGCCTCAATTCTTGCCCTCTCTTGGCCTTGAAAGAGGCAGCTAGGTGGCTGGATAGAGCCCTGGGCCTGGTGTCAGAAAGACCTGAGTTTGAATCCGGCCTCAAATACTAGCTGTGTGACCACAGGCAAATCACCTAACTTCTGTTTGCCTTAATCTATTGGAGAAGGAAATGGTGAATCACTCCAGTATCTTTGCTAGGAAAACCCCATGGACATTATGGTCCACCAGGTCACGAAGAGTCAGACATAACTGAATGACAAGCACCTGGCCTTGCAAGGCCCAGAGCTGGAACCGGCCAGGGCTGAATTGGCTTCAGAAAATGGTCTTGGAAACCTTTGCTTCTTTCTGGGTTTCCCTGAAAGTCTAATGATTCTGGCCTTGATCAGGAAGAAATCATGGCAGAATCCTTTTCTATCTGGAATTGGCCCTCCTGCCAAGGTGAGGCAAGCAGGTGTTTTGAGCCTCTCTGTCCCAACCCCTTCCCTCTCCTCCCACTCCAGCGGTGATTCAACCATTTCATCTGAGCAGCATTTATTAAATGCCTCCTATGTGCCTGGCCCTCTACCTGGCAATGGGTGTGGGCAAAGACAAAAGGCAAACAGGCCCTACCCTCAGGGAGTTTACATTCTACTGGGAGTGGGTGGGGACAACATGGCCGTAGACAAGTAAATACTGGACAGGGTCGTACAATGTGGTAGAAAGAGCTGGTTTGGTGTCAGAGATTTGAACCCTGGCTCTTACTACTTGTGTGACCTTGGACAAGTCTTGACCTCCCTTTCCCTTTCTGTAAAATGGGGGTTAGGGGACTGCATGGCAAAGGCAAAAGAACACTGGCTCTGGGGTCTGAGTATCTGGGTTCAAATCTTGTCTCTGATGCTTAAGAAACCCGTGTGACCTTGGGCAAGTCACTAGCACCCTGAACCTCAGGCTCCTTCTCTGGAAGATGAAGGGTTTATATAAATTGGCCCCTGGGATCCCTTCCAGCTCTAGGGGAAGGGAAAGGACATCGAAGGTCAAGGAAGTTCACTAGCTAGTCAGTGACCAGGGTCGAGCTCAGGCTTCCTCATTCTCCCAGACCTCATGGATTTTCCAGCCTGTAGTGGCTGGTTTCCTGGGCTGCCCCAGCTGAACTCATCTTCTGCTGGTGACCAGGCAGGGCCTTAGGGGACAGACGCACACTCAGTCCATTGCCAGGCCTAGATTCAAAGCCTTCCAAGATCAGAAGGAGCTGCCCTGAGCTTGGGAGTTTCTGACAGAGTCTGGGTCACTTCTGAGTCAGGATGAGGCTGAGAGTGAAAGATGGCTACAATCCAGAGATGAAGGGATCTCCAAATGCGGGCAAATAATAATATCTAACGATTATTTGGCACTTTAAGGCCTACAAAGCAGTTTCCATATAGTATCCCATTTGATCCTTACAACTAGGTGAGGTAGGTGCTATTGTGATCCCCATTTTATAAACAGGGAAACTGAGGCAGGGAGAAGTGAAATGGATTGTCCAGGGTCACACAGTAACTAAGTGAATTAGGGTTTCCCTGACCAGCTCTCTCTCTACTGTACTACCTAGCATTGTGGGGCCTTCAAGGGTCCTCAGCAAAAGTTACCTATCGGGAATAAGCCTGAAGAGAATCCCTGTATCTAGCAGAGGGTTGGACCAGAAAACCCCTGAAGCCCCTTCCATCTCTGAGGCCTATATTTCTGAGCGTCTGTGGTTTCTCAGTCTAAGATACTGTTAGCCTGAGGCTGGAGCTGGGTAGAAAACAGAGGCCTCGGGGAGGCTGGCTAATGGGATGAGGATAGGGCCAGCCAACCTTTCCAGCACCAGGCTCCGATTACTCCCACCTGGAGATTCAGAGAACCTTCCGTTTTTTCATGTTGGATTTGAATAAATATTTATTAAGCACCTATTACATGCCGGGCACATGCCAGACAGGCAAAAGACAGTTCCTGTGAGCTCACAGGTGAGGGGGTGAGCCATCTATGAACAAATAAGCTAAATACAGGCTCTGCTGGAAATAACGGCATCTCTAGGGGCAGCTGGGCAGCGCAGTGGATAGAACACTGGCCCTGGAGTCAGGAGGACCTGAGTTCAAATCCAACCTCAGATATATAACACTCACTAGCTGTGTGACCCTGGGCAAGGCACTTAACCCCATTGTCTAGCCAAAATCATAGTCATCATCATAATCATAATCACCCCTGGGTGATCCCACTGACTCCTCTTTCCACCAGCCAATTGGAAGGAGATTTTACTGAAGCATATCAGCCCAGACCAGCTGCCCATGGATTATGGGGGCACCATGACAGATCCCAACGGAGACCCCAAGTGCACATCCAAGGTATGGGCCTCCAGGGACCAGAGGGGAGGGGGAGGGGTAGAACTGGGGCAGGACTTCTCTTCCCCCTCCCACCCCCCACTCACCCCCTGGGCTCCCTGCAGATCAACTACGGGGGTGAAATCCCCAAGAAGTATTACATCCGGGACCAGGTAAAGCAGCAGTATGAGCACACGGTCCAGATCAGCAGGGGCTCCTCCCATCAGGTGGAGTACGAGATCCTCTTCCCGGGTTGTGTCCTCAGGTAAGGGAGGGCCCAGGCCCTCCAGGTGCCCTACCCACCTTCCCTAGAATTAGCAGGAGCTGATCAGGGACGGACAGGAGCTGACTTCTTCAGAGAAGTCTCCTTGGTCCTTTAGTCCAGCCCTGATAGGCCCGGAGACCTTCGGCGACGGGGAGCTCACTCCCTCCCAAGGCAGCCCTTTGGGAGAGCTTCAGTTCAGCTCTTCCTTCTGCCAAGCTCGAGTCTTTTTTTGTGGTTCCTGCCCATTGTATCTGTTTCTGCAGACCACGTCTGGGCATGTGGGCAACAGCATTTATTAAGTATTTACTATGTGCCAAGTGCTTTGCCAAGACCCTTTTCCACACAATCGTCCTTCAAACGCTTGACGACAGCCACCAGCACGTAGCACAATGCCTGGCACACAGCAGGCGCTTCATAGATGTTTATTGATTGAGTGATCATGTCCCACTGATTCTTTTTTTCCCAGTTTCCCACCTCCTGTGGCATGATCTCAAAGCCCCTTCCCATCTTGTTTGCTCTCCACCAATGGCCTTCCTCTATGGTGGACTGTAGAACCCAGGCTTGAAAACCTTATTTCACATGGTGTTTGACCAGAGCCTTCTGTGTTCTCGATATACCAATCAATCCACCAGCATTTATTAGGCACCTACTATGTCCCAGGTAATGTGCTAGGTGCTACAGAACAAACATTTTAAAAACACAACAGTCCCTGCCTCCAAGGACCTTACATTCTATTGGGGAGGGGGAGACATGGACACATATAATTAGATACAAATATATGCAAATTAAGGACTAGGGCTAGACCTGTGATTTCATGAGTGGAGGGGCTGGCCAGTGCCTCCTCTGACATTTAGTAGTTTCAGCGAGTTGGTCAGAACATTGAGAGGTTCAAGGATTCACCAGGGTCATGCTCTGACATGGGTCCAAGGCAGGACTTGAACCCGGAACTTGCTGGCTACAACCCTCTAGCCACAATGCCTTGTACAAAATCAATGAATAATAATTGGGGAGGGAGGGGAGGAGACCCCCGCAAATGTCCGTCTTAGTGTAGATTAGGATCGTGTTAACTTTTTGGATGACCTTGTCACAAAGTTGAGTCTTTGGACTTGGGGTCCCACAAAATCTCCAGGTCTCTTTCTATCCAACTGTGGTCTAGCCAGCTATATGGCTTCCATTTTTGACTAGTGCAATTGACATTTTGGACCCAAGTGCAGGAGTTTGCATTTATTGCTATTACATGTCATCTGATTAGCTTTGGCCCCAGATTCCAGATTCCTTGGCCCCAAAAAAGGCCCAAGCCTGGGAGGGATGCTTGTGATTAAGGTCTGTGCCTGCTTGCAGGTGGCAGTTCATGTCAGATGGGGCAGACGTGGGCTTTGGGGTGTTCCTGAAGACAAAGGCTGGTGAGCGGCAGAGAGCGGGTGAGATGACCGAGGTCCTTCCCAGCCAGAGGTACAACGCCCACCTGGTCCCTGAGGATGGGACGCTCACCTGCAGCGAGCCTGGGATCTGTAAGTACTCCTCTGTCTTGACTTAAGACACCTTCTCCCCCAGGAGAGCCTTGGACTTAGCACAGAATGACAGAATATAAGAGCTAGGAGGGGCCTTAGAACAGAAAAGGCCAGAGCTGGGAGGGGGCCTTAGAACAGGGGATGTCAGAGCTGGGAGGGGCCTTAGAACAGGGGATGTCAGAGATATGGATAGATGGGGCATAGATTCCTCATTTTATAAATATTAAATCATAAAGTTTAGGAGACCTTCTCACCTGCCCCCTCCTGGAAGTCAAGATTACTAGGGTTCCAGACCCAGAACTTGGTGGCTAGAACCCAAGGCTAGACCTCTCCATGGGCTTCTGCTGGCTAACAGTCAGATCATTCAGAGCATTGGCTGCTGGGCAGATGTCAGGCTCATGGTGATCACTGAGCTCTGAGAAGCCCCAGGAGCCCAATTAGGGGAGATGGGGAGCTCCAGGTCGCTCAGCTCCCCCTCCCACCTTGTCAGGGCCAGGCCCATGGGGAGGGGGTGGTGACAGAAGGAGCAGTGATGGGCCACAGGGGAAATGGTGGTAGCCCAGAGGAGCCCTACGGCTCATCTCCATGGCAGCTCAGACAGGGGTGGGCCAGGACTCCCACAGCTGAAGTCTGTGTGTGATGAGCGTCTCCTCAGCCCTCCTGGACCCGCCCCTCCCAACTCCCAGGCCTCCATGCTGGGGACTTGTGTGCATACCCCAGGCTCCCATGCCCTCCTCACCCCACACACCCATGTACCCACTCACACACACACCTCCCCACACCCACCTCATGCATACACTCACCTCCCCACACCTACCCACTCACAGCTACTCACATACCTACTCACACTCACCCCCCCATACCCCACACAACACCCACACCTACCCACACTCACCCCACACATACCCCCACACATTCCCACACACTCACACACGTTCCATATACCCACCCACACTCACACACCTACACCCCCACCCACAGCTACCCACACACTCACCCCCCATACCCACACTCCCCCCCCACACCTACCCACTCACACACACACCTCCCCACACCCACCTCATGCATACACTCACCTCCCCACACCTACCCACTCACACCCACTCACATACCTACTCACACTCACCCCCCATACCCCACACAACACCCACACCTACCCACACTCACCCCACACATACCCCCACACATTCCCACACACTCACACACGTTCCATATACCCACCCACACTCACACACATACATCCCTACCCACAGCTACTCACACACTCACCCCTCCATACCTACCCTCACTCCCCAACTCATACATTCACCCCCCACATACATCCACCCCCACTCACCTTCCCACCCATACACCCCACACTCACTCACACTCATCCCTCCACACCCACACACCTACCCACACATTCACATACAGACTCCCCCCCAACACTCACACACCCACCTACATTCATACACACATATACCCACACTCCCCCCACACATATGTACATACACACACACACACACACTCCCCACACTCACTCCCATATACCCCTCACACTCACCTCCACCGCCCTACACTCATACCTCACCCCCACACTCACACACCACCTCCAGCCTGCTCCCATCCCCACTAGCGCTAGACAGCCCGGCCTGGGGTTTAATGATAACAAGGACTGGTCCACGGTCTCTCGTGTTACCAGCACAGTTTTAGGCCTGGAGTGCCAGCCTTGGGACCAGGAAGCCCTAAGATAGGGGGCCTCTCTGCAGAGACTCTTCTGCAAAGGCGGCTGTCAGAACTGGTCCTGAGGAGAGGAGCTGCAGTATCTTGGTGGTAGGGAAGATGTTAATCATTACACTGGTGTTCCTAGACCGTCAGGTCGGCTTTACCGCCATTAATTATCATACTGGAGCCTTGGAGTGACCCTGGGAGAGAGGCGTTTTTCTCAGCCCCATTTTGTAGATGAGCAAACTGAGGCTGAGAAGTCAGGAGACTTGGGGTGGGAGGTTGAGAGCCAGTATTGACCTTAGAGGACGATGAGTAGCCCAACCCCTTGATTTACAGATGTGGAAAGAGTGGCCCAGAGAGGCCGGGTAACTGTCCCAGGGTCACACAGCTAATACATTTTAAAAGGAGAGATTTGAACCCAGGACTTTGTGACTCCAAGATTGTCACTCTTTCCATTGTACTACCTTGCAAAGCCTATGATTCCTCCCAGAAGGGAAACTGAGGGGAGGAAGGTATAGGCCCAGAGACGTCATCCTGGGGCAGAATAGGGTAGAGAGGCCCCTAACCCCATCCTTGGCCTGGCCTCCTCACTCTCCGGGATACAGATTGCTTGGTTTAACCCCTCTAGGGGTATGCGGCATCCCTAGGAATCAGTCAGTACACATTCATTAAGCACCTACTGTGTGCCAGGCACCGGGCTAAGTTCTGGGTGCACAAACATTCCTGTAAACTCAACCCCAGGTCCGGCCACATACAGAGACAGCCGGGCAGCTGAGCCGCAGCACCTCAGGGGCCGGACAGAGGGTTGGGCTGGCCGAGGTTCCCACCTGGGGCAGGCGCCTGGCAGGAAGGGAGGATTCTATGGCAGCATCAACTGCAGTGGGAGGGCCCTGCACGGGCCGCCAGGGGCCTGAGAGCCCCTCCCTGGTCAGGCTGGACGCCAAGGCTCAGGCGCACCTGAGGGGAGCCAGGGGCCAGGGACTGGTCTGGGATTTCATTAGCAGAGGAAGATCCCTCGATGGGTGCAGGGGAGCCTCCCGAGGGGAGTTACCCAAGTGACTTGGCCACAGTCTGTCTGGAAGCCAGCATGGGCCAGCTCTGTCTGGCCCTGTCCACTGCACCACCTGGCCTGTCCTGGCTGGACCTGGGCTTGGCATGGGGGAGAAACTAGGAAACCGGAGACTTGGCCTGATTCTCCAGGGGGTCTCATTCATTCCACTTAGTTCATGATTCGCTCAAATCATTCATTCACTCCCCCCAAGTCTTTCCTTCATCTATTTCACTCTCCCACTTCACTCATTCATCTATTCCGTGTTACTCATTCATTCTCTTCATTCATTCACTCAGCTTCACTCATTCCACTCATTCATTAACTACTTCATTCATCAATTTCCACTTTAACTCATTCACCCATGCCGCTTCATTCATTCACTTCACTCATTCATTCTACTTCATTAAATAACTTCATTTGTTCTTAATACTTCACTTATGCCACATCATTCATTCACTCCATTCATCCATTCCACTTCACTCCTTCATTCATCCCAATGCACTTGTGTATGCTAGCTCTCTGTGGAGCTGACTCTCTTTCTCCCTCCCTTCCTCCCTCTTTCTCCCTTCCTCTCTCTTTCTCCCTCCCTTCCTCCCTCCCTCTCTCTTTCTCCCTCCCTCCCTCCCTCCTTCCCTCTCTCTCTTCCTCCCTCCCTCCCCAAAGCAGAAATGGCCTGTTTCAGGATGTGGTGAGCTCCCCCTTCCATGAGCTCTTTAAGCCCGGGTGGGAGGAAGACCACTTGTCAGGCCCTTTGGAGAGTGATTATCCAGATGCCCTGGAAATCCCTACCAGCTTCAATATTCTCTTTGCCTCTTTTTGAGGCAGTGGGTAGTGAGGATAGAGGATAGAGGAATGGGCTGGGAAGACCCGAGTGCCAGTCCTGCTGCTGACTCTGACTAGCTGTGGATTCTCTCAGACTCACTTTTCTCAGATTCCCTGACCTTCAGAGCCTGTCCGGCCCTACCTCCAGAATACCGTGCTCCTTTGAGTTGGGGCTGATGGAGGCTGGGGAACCGCTGCCAGGTCTCTTAGGGAGCACTGTGCCCCGTGTTAGGGGATGTTCCAGATTGAGGGTTCTCACCCTCGTGGGCGACGTGCCCCAGGCTGTCTGCTGAAGCCCTGCGCAGAGTAACGGTGAATGATAACACCACACTCTGGGATTGCAAGGGAACCGATCATAGGGAAATGCAGTTATCAAAATGCCTGTATTTAAAACCCAAGCTGGTGAAGCCCAGTTGTCTCATATGTGATGCAGAGCTTTGCTGCCTTGAAGGTACCAATTCCATGCTAACTGGCATCATTATCGGCACTGTTGTGGGGATGTTTGCCTAGGTATGGATGCCTCACTTGGAGGACCCTCCAGCCCTGAGATTCCAAGGCCCACCCCCCTCCCCATTCAGTTACTAGCCTCAGTTTCTTCATCTCTAGAATGGAGACAATTGCTTTCCAGGGTTGTTTCAAGGAAAGGGCTTAGTAAACACCTAGACGACTGGAGAATGCTTTAAAAATGGTTTCTGTTGCTGGGTTTGGGCCCATTCTCAGGTCTGGCATCCTCACTGCCACCCGGCTGAGTCCCCAAGTCAATCGACAGTCACGCATCAACACCTGCTCTGTGCCTTCCCAGGGACTCTCCTCTGACCTGAGAACCTTCCTCCCCATCCCTGTCTCCTTGCAGATGTCCTGAGGTTTGACAATACCTACAGCTTCATCCATGCCAAGAAGGTCAGCTTCACTGTGGAGGTGCTGCTTCCGGACAAGGCCTCAGAGGAGAGGCTGCAGCAGCTAGGAGAGAAGGGAATGGCTCCTTCTCGGCAGTGAAGGCCACAGACGCCCAGCCTCAGCCCCTGTCCAGACCCCACCCCCTGCATCTCTGTATTAGGGAACCTGGGCAGAGGTCAAGACAGTGCCCGTCCCTGCCTCACCTCTGGGGCGCACTCAGCCCAGCCTGAAGACGGGGTGAGAGGGGAGAGCTTGGGGGGTGGACAGAGGCTGGGTGGCCCAGGAGAAGTCCCTTCCCCCATCCTCTCCTCTCTCACGGAACTCGGGGTTCCGTGGGTGCTGGGCACTGATGGGATCCGTCCATCCTTTGACTCGTGCCAACCTCAGTTTCTGTCCCCCAGGCTGGGGGAAAGGGAGCCAGATATGGGTGAGGGAAGAAGGGTTAGGGGATGGTTGGCATTTGACATCCGGATTCTGGGCGTGGGCCCTGAGAAGCCCATTCCTAGAGGTAGCTGATATCAGGGGGCCGGGCCGGGCATGGGGGTGCTTTGTCCCCACATTAGGTCAGAAAGGGAGGGATCCTCCTGGACAGAAGGTCAGGCACAGGTCTCTGCAGACTGTTCCCTGCTTTAAGAGATTCAGGGCTTCCTGTGGCCAGACTGGCTTAATCACTAATGAATACTGATAATTAGTACTGAGAGCTACCTATACCCAAGGCCTAGCCCCTGCCCAGCACTGCTGGCCTCTGTTCTGTGGGCAGTACAGAGGGAGACACTGTCCCCTGCCCTCAGGGGGCCTATAGTCTTGTAGCTCCCAGTAAGATCAACTCACCACCTCTAACCCAGCCCCCAAACTGGCACAAAGGGAAGAGAAGAGCAGAGCATGCGGGCTGTAGAACGCGTCTCTGGCAGCCCTTTCACTTTAAGGAGCGGGGAGCGGAGACCTGGAAAGGTGAAGGAAGTTACCAAGGTCCGCCCCTGCTGAGTTAACGACAGGGTCCAGACCAGAACCGGCCTCCAGCGGCCTCAGCCTTCCTTCCGCCCTCCCGTTCCTTCTTAACTAAAGGGGGGGACACAGGGCTGGTAGGTGCCTGGCTGGGGCTGGGGCAAGCCCTTGCATACGGAGCCACTGGCGGGATGCTTAAGCTCCCTGGGGAGGGAGGCGAGGCCACTCCCCCAATTCAAAGAAATCCATTTTCCTTCAGGTATCGGATTCAAGGCACCAGAGGTGTGTCACCCAGCACTACCAAGGGAGTCAGGGGGCTGCGGAGTAGGGACCAGGGCCTCCCGTGTGTCTTCCATGAGAGAGGGGATCCAGGGCTGCCTGCCCGTGTTCCCCTTCAAACCCTCTGAGGGCCCGGCCCTGCTGGGCAGCACCAGGAGTAGTGAGTAGGAAGGAGGCAGAAAACCCCCAACTTTTCTAACCATGTGAGCTATTCAGAAGTGCAACGGGTAGCCTGGATAGGTAGTGAGCTCCCCGTCCCTGGAAATGCTCAAAGGGAGGCTCAGTGGCTATTTGTTAGGGATTCCTTAGGGAGGATACTTAGACCCCTTGGAACCTTCCCAGCTCTGGAGAGTCTGTGATTCTTTGAGGAATGGGGTGGCTTGTGACAGGTAATGAGCTCCCTGTCACTGGAACTATTCAAGTGGAGGCAGGATACCCACTTGGTCAGGGATGCTGTAGAGGAGATTCTTGCTGAGGTATTGGGTGAGCTAGATACTCTCAGAGCTGGCTGCCCTCAGAGTTGGGGGGCTCTGGGTTGGAGGGTGTCTCGGTTTACAGATGCTCTGTTAGGAAAATTAACCAACAAATAAAGAAATCTATGTGATTCTGGCTCTCCAGCCTTTTTTCTCTGCCGTGTTGTCTTTACCACCTCCCTCTGGGGGGCGCCAGAGAATTCCAAACGCTGAGATCACCGACCGAAGGACAGAGCCTTCCGCGGTTCTACGGGAAATGAGTGGGTGCGGTTGCGCGCTGGAGCTCTTGTCATTGGATGGGCTGGTGGGCGTGTGATCTCACCATATTTACTGAGAGCAACAAGTGTGGGCTTCCAAGTGAGGGCGGAAGTCCCGCCCCCGGACCACTAGAGCCTGGCTGTGCGTAGAGGTGGCCCCACGTGGTCTGGGAGGACCTAGGGACGTGCAGCTGCGGCAGGCTCTGCGGGACTCGGGGCTGAGGGGTGGGGAGAGGGGGAACCTAGCTGAAGGTAGCTAGGTGGCTCTAGGGACTGTCTCCGAATTCCATTTTGGGGGTTCGGGAACCCCTCTGCCTGTCGTCCCCAAGTCCCGCCCAGGCCCCGCAATTCAGACCGCCTGAGTCCCTCGGACCCACAAAGTTCCCCGGGATTCCCCAGTGCCCTTCTGGGTCCCGCAGGACCCCCTCCCCCGCCCCCAGCCTCGTGGGAGGGGCCTAGTTCAAGCGTCTCATTTCTCCAGACCCACCAGGATCCTGATTCCCCTCCCCGGGCTTTCTGTGTAAACGCCAGGCACTGTGGACACAGGCTAAAAAATAAAGATCGGGCGCGCTGGAGGAGCTGGGGGGTGGGTGCGTGCAGCGGCAATCATGAACCTGTAATGGGGGGGGTCAGGAGAGGCCTCCTGCAGACGCTAACTCTTCAGGGGGGGGCCGGTGCCATGCAGGCGCCCCCAGGCTGGGGGTCCCCTCCTCAGCGCCCTGGGAGCTGCCCAGCCCCCCATCTCTACGCCCTTCAGTCTTCCGATGTCCCCCCAGCCTCCCTGCATCTCTTGAGGCCCCGCACCTGAGGCTGGAAGGTCCCCAGGGTGCAGGAGGTAGACTGAGGCAGGGTGCCCAGATTAGCCGCCAAGAAGCTCTGCTGGGCTCTGGGGACACAGCGTGACGGGCTCGGCCTCCTTGTCCGCAGAAGGTGCTGGCCGTGGCCTCACGGGGCTTGGGTTCAAATGCGGCCTCTGTGACAGCCTGCATGCATCGCAGGACCATAGGTTTAGAGCCGGAAGGACCTTAGGGGTCCTCCAGTCTACCACCCCCATTTTACAAATGGGGAAACTGAGGCTCGGAGAGGTACGAGGGCCACACGGTATGAGACCTGATTTGAAGATGGTCTTCCTGACTCCCAAGTTCCACTTAACTTCCCTAGGCCTCAGTTTCCCCCTCTGTAAAATGAGGAGGTTGGACTCGACCAGATGACCTCTGGGGCACCTTTTCATCGTAAAAGCCAAATTCTGACCTCGCAATTTCCTAGCTGTGTGACCTTGGGCAAGTCCCTCCTCCAGCATGGAGCAAAAACACATGGAAGGGATCGAGCTCGGAAGACCAGGGGGAGCATGGGGAGTGGTGGCGGGCTCTGCGTTCCGACCGCCCCGGAGGCGGGGCCTCGGCTTCCCAACCTCCTTCCGCGTGTCCGGGTCTGGGCCTGGGTCCCCCACGTGTGTGCATCTGTGCTTGCGCGCGCGTGTGGCCGGCGCGTAATTTGCAGACGCTCCCCGGCCGGCGTGGCCGGAGAGAACGTCCGGTGCAGTGGCCTGCGCGGCGGCCGCCCCATCCCGGTGCGCACCATGCCGGACTCTTGTCGAGATGCCCAGCCCGACCTCTACCGCGACACGTGGGTGCGCTACCTGGGTGAGCGCGCCGCTGGGGGCCGGCCCGGGCCGGGCGGGGGTCGTGGGAGGGGCCGGAGGGGCGCCCCGCCCGCCAGCCCACCGGGCGATCGAGCTTAGCCCGGGGAGCCCTGCGGCGCCGGGAATGCGGACTGGGAGGCAGGGCACCGGCCCGGGCTGCTGGTGACCTTGGACTAGTCACTGCCCCCCTCTCTGCGGCCGGTGACCTCTAGGTCTGACATTCCTCCACCGCTGACATTGGCGGTTGGACATCCCGAGGTCCGTCTGCGCTCTGACATTCCCTGTTCTAAGGTCCCTTGTGTGACCTAAGGTCTCTCCAGTTCTCAGGTTCTGTGCCCCAGGGTCTCTCCCATTCTGAGGTTCTGCGCCCCAGGGTCTCCCGTTCTGAGGTTCTGTGTCCCAGGATCTCTCTGGTTCTGGGGTGCTGTGCCCCAGGGTTTCTCCGGTTCTGGGGTTCTGTGCCCCAGGGTCTCCCATTCTGAGGTTCTGTGTCCCAGGATCTCTCCGGTTCTGGGGTTCTGTGCCCCAGGGTCTCCTGTTCTGAGGTTCTGTGCCCCAGGGTCTTCCGTTCTGAGGTTCTGTGCCCCAGAGTCTCTCCGGTTCTGGGGTTCTGTGCCCCAGGGTCTCTCTGGTTCTGGGGTTCTGTGCCCCAGGGTCTCTCTGGTTCTGGGGTTCTGTGCCCCAGGGTCTCCCGTTCTGAGGTTCTGTGCCCCAGGGTCTCTCCGGTTCTGGGGTTCTGTGTCCCAGGGTCTCTCCCAGCGCTGACATTCCATGGCCTAATCCTTTCCTGTTCTCACTTTTCTGTGCATTGTTTATTATGCCTCTCCAGTCGCCAAATTGCGGCAGCCGGGGTGGGGGTAGGGGGGGGCACTTAACCTTCTGAGTCCAAGCCGGGAGGCAGTGGGGACCCTGCCTTTCCTAAATGGAAGTCCCCCCAGCCCCCTTACCCCCGCCCCAGCTTGGTACAGTTGGGCAGACAACTCGAGGGGGCCGGGGCTGGAGCCGAGAGTGAGTGGAGGACTGGGGTGGGGGAGGGGACTCCCGTTAGGAGGGGTATGGTGAATCAGGCCAGGGCTCAAAGTAAGGGTCAGGAACAGGTTTGGCTGGTGACCAGGGACGCCCCCCCCTCGCAAAAGAAACAAAGCCACCAGCCGGGTCACCCCAGGAGGAGGTGCCCCCCCCAGTTAGTGGCAGAGCTCAGACTTGGGGGCTCCTTTCCCTGACACCCATCTCCCCTTTTGGAAGGACACAGGGGAGGAGTCACCTGGGCCTGCTCTCCCCAGCCCCCTCCCCCCCCCCATCGCATTCGAGGCAGAGCCTGGAGCAGGGGCTCTGAACCTGGGGCATATGGCTTTGGGTTTTTAATTTTTAACAACTGTGTTTCAGAATGAGTGGCTTCCTTTGGAATCCTGTATGTTTTATTTTATTATTTTTATTTTAAGGCAATTGGGGTTCAGTGACTTGCCCAGGGTCACACAGCTGGTATCAGGTCTGAGGCCTGATTTGAACTCAGGTCCTCCTGATTTCAGGGCCGGTGCTCTATCCACTGTGCCACCTCTCTGCCCCTGCATTTTATTTTATGCATTTAAAGACGTTCTGAGAAGTGGCCCAGAGACTTCTCCAGACCACCGAAGGGGTTTGCCCAGAGCGTGGGGGGTTCTGGGAGCCCCCCTTCTCTAGGTCCCCAAGCTGCAGATGGAGGGGAGGGAGACACAGGTCTCCCCCAGTCTTTTCACCACTTTTTGCCAAGCCAGGCTTCTTCCTCCATGACTTTTGACCTCATTCTGTTCTTTCTTCCTGCTCCCTCCAACCTTTTGCCTATTTCTGCCCCTTCTCAAAGAGGATTGGATAGAGTGGAGTCAGGAAGACCTGAGTTCAAATCCAGCCTCAGACATTTACTAGGTGCGTGACCTTGGGCAAGTCCCTTTGCTCTGTTTGCCTCAGTTTCCTCATCTGTAAAATGAGCTGGAGAAGGAAATAGTAAACCACTCCAGGATCTTTGCCAAGAAAGCCCCAAGTCAGCTCATGAACAAAGCCTCTGTCCCTTCCAGGTTATGCCAATGAAGTGGGAGAGGCCTTCAGATCGATTGTGCCCACTTCCATGGTGTGGCTGAGTTACGGGGTGGCCAGCTCCTATGTGGTGGCCGATGCTGTGGACAAGGGCAAGAAGACCGGAGCTGTGAGTACAGGGACAGTTTGCTCCACGTGGTACCACCCATTTTCACCCCACCCCATCCTCACACGTGGTACAGTTTTTGTGGACACTTCTCCCGCCAACCACGTACTCCCTGCTCCTGGGGACTGCGTTATTCCTTCCTCACTGCCCTGGGAGTGTCCCTCTTAGTGATGCTGGTGGACCCTCGCCCCTTTTAGCCCTACAGCCCCTGCCCAGAGGGGGCCCCCTCACATGCTCCGGCAGCTTTCCTGTTTGGTTCTCCCCACAGGCCCTGAGCCCAGAGTCGGGCAGGACCACCAAGATAGCGGTGGCCGTGGTCGATACATTTGTCTGGCAGGCGCTGGCTTCTGTGGCCATCCCGGGCTTCACCATCAACCGTCTGTGCGCCACTTCTCTCTATGTCCTCAGCAGAGCCACCAGCTGGCCTCTGGCTGCCTGCAAGTGGACGACCACAGCCCTGGGGCTGATGGCCATACCTGTCATCATTCACCCCATCGACAGGTGCTCATAGGGCCCTCACCCAGGGGTGGCACTGCTGGGAATCACTGGGCTTCTTCCCACCATCTTTAGAGATCTGCTTGGCCTGTGCTCAGTGCCGAGCGTCGGAATCCCAGCCAGGAGAGGAGTGGAGCCTGGCCGGCCGGTCCACCTCTGAGTGGAGGGGTGTCACCCATGAGAGCAGGGCCAGTGTGGCACAGGGAGGGTCCAGGGAGGAGGCAGGTGAGGCACGGTGGCCAGGCGCTGAGCGTTACAGTCCCAGCCAGGAGGAGGAGGTTTATAGGGAGCCACTGAAGGTGGTCAGGTAGGGGCATCCCATGGTCAGATCTGTGCTTGAGGAAAATCTGGGAGCAGCGTGGGGGATAGACTGGGGTAGAGGGACAGGAGGCAGGGAGATGCATGGCTGATGCAGCCATGTGGGGAGGGGATGGGTACAGAGAAGGGATGGATGTGGGAGTGGGATGGAGGAGGACATGAGCAGAAGGGTTGGGTAAGTGGGTTGAGGAAGAAGGAAGGGTCCAGGATGCTCTACGGCTACAGACCTGGGAATCGGGAGGGATGTTTGGAAGAAGGGAGGATGGGGGGTGTTCGGTTTGAGACCTAGTGAGTTTCAGCTATCTGTGGGATGTCCACTTAGAAACGTCCAATGGGCAGCTGGTGGGGCAGGACAGAGGCCCAGGGGAGACACTGAGGCTGGATGGAAACCTGGGTATATCTGAGTCGTCTGCGAAACCCACAGGAGCTGCTGAGGTGACCAGCGCAGCTCAAAGGAAAGGACCAGCAGGCTTAGCGTAGGATGGAGCTTTGGGAACCGTTTGCGGCTGGTGGTCCCTGTAGGGACGATGAGCCGGCAGAGGAGACTGAGGAGGAGCAGGCAGAGAGGCCGGAGAAGAGCGGGGAGAAAGCCAAGTGCCCCAGACTCCAAGGAGGCGTGGGTGGTCAGAGGCAGCCCAGAGTCTGAGAAGGATAATGATGAAGAAAAAACCATCAGACCTGCCAGGGAAGAGATGGCTGTGGAGAGGACAATTTCTGTGCAGTCATGCGGTTTGCAAGTCAGACTGCAAGAGTTGAGGAGTGACGGGGAGGAGAGGAGGGGGAGGCAGCGAATTTGTGTGAGAAAGGGAGCTGAGATACAGAATGATGGCGGCAGGGCTTGGACGTCTGGTGTGGCTAAGGATGAGGGGGACCTGAGCGTGGCTGAAGGCACTAGGGAAGGAACCAGTGTGTGTGTGTGTGTGTGTGTGTATGTATGAGTGTGTGTATATATGTGTGAGTGTGTGTATGAGTGTGTATGTGTGCATGTGTGTGGATATATGTGTGTCTATGTATATGTGTGTGAGTGTGCGTGTATGTGGATATATGTGTGTATGTGTGTGAGTGTGTATGTCTATGCATGAATGTGTGTATGTATGTGAGTATGTGTATGTAAGTGTGTGTGTATGTGTATATGTATGTATATGTATGAGTGTGTTTATATGTGTGTGTATGAGTGTGTATATGTGCATGTGTGTGGATATGTGTGTGTATGTATATGTGTGTGGGTGTATGTGGATATATGTGTGTATATGTGTGGTGTGTATGTATGTATATGCATGAGTGTGTGTATGTATGTGTGTGTGAGTGTGTGTGTGTGTGTATGTGTGTGTGTTTGCTACACGCCAGTTCTGATGACCACTGGCTTCTCTTACGGACATTTCCAGCTCAGTAACTCAGCAGAGTGGTAGCTTTTTGGTTCCCAGGCTTCCTGGAGGAGGAAGGCGCTACTCACTGCTGTGTGCGTTGGGCAGACCTCCTTGGGTTTATCTCCGAGCATTGTGGTTTAAGATAAAGTCTGGAGAGGGGCCAGAGGAGGGCAGCCAGGGGGAGGAGGGCCTTGCGTTTCATGGTGTAGGAGGTTTGGGTGAATGAATAGGCCGAGTTAGCCAGGAGAAGGCTTAGAAGAGACACGAGGGATGGTCACTTGGAAGAAGGATGGGCACGGCTCTGCATGGCCCCAGAGAGCAGAACTAGGAACCGTGGGTGCGTGTGGCAAAGAAGCCGATTTAGGCTCGACGTCAGGACGAATTTCCTAATGCTTTCCAAGTGGAAGGTGCTGCCTCTTGGAATGAGGCACCTAGGGGCGTCTGACTCTCCATGACCCCATTTGGGGTTTTCTCGGCAGAGATACTGGAGTGGTTTGCCATTTCCTTCTCCAGCTTGTTTTGCAGATGAGGAAACTGAGGCAAGAAGGGTCACACAGCTACCAAGTGTCTGAGGCCGGATTGAACTCGGGTCTTCCTGACTCCAAGTTGGGAGCTCTATGCCTTAGGGCGCCACCTAGCAGCCCAGCTGGGTAGTGCAGTGGATAGAATCATGAAACTTGAGTTCGGTTCCAAATTCTGCTTCAGATACCCAGTGGCTGTGGGACTCTGGGTGAGCCTGGGCCTCAGTTTCCTCCTCTGTAAAATGGGGAGGTTGGATTTTTTTTCCCCACCCAAAGCGACCTGTAAGGAGGCTGGCCGCACAGCACTGGCCGTCCCAAGCCCTGCCTCTGTGTCTCTCCACAGGTCAGTGGATTTCCTGATGGACTCCAGCCTCCGCAAACTCTACCCTTCTCATGAGAAGCCCAGCTCTTCTTGATGCCTCCAGCCCTGCCTTGGGCCCAGCTTTGCCCGCATGCCAACTGATGTCCCATCCTCCTGGGAACCTCCAAAGTGGGGGCCTGGGGACCTGAAATCGTTGGAGCTCAGATCATTTGGTCCAACCCCTCATTCAGTAGAGGAGGAGACTGATGGCCAGAGTGGAGGGAAGCACATTCCCTAGGTTTTACTGTGAAGTCAGTGGTCAAGCCAGTTCCTGGGACTGCTGGGTTGTGGTTTCTCCCCCCCCCCCAACTAACACTGTGTAAGAAGCATCACCCTCCCCCCACCACACCCTGCCCCATTTCTTTAGCATTTATGAAGTGCTTTCCCCCGAAACAACTCTGAGGGGACTTAGCGGCCAGTGTTATTAGCCCCATTTCATGGATGAGGAAACAGGCTCAGGGAGGGAAGATTTGCCCAGAGTTGCTCAGGGAGAATTTGGGGAGCGTGCAATGCCGGTCAGATCGGGTGGTGGTCTCTCTGGAAGCCGGGAGGGAGGGAAGCCCAGGATACTGTGACCTAATCGTGGAGAGCTGGGAAGACCCCTCCCTCCCGCGGCTCTGTCCTGGGGGAGGCTGCCCAGAGGAGGGCCCGGGGAGTGGCCATGCAGGACTCGGGGTGGCCGCCTTCTCAAGGTGCTCAATAAACACCATCCACGTCCGGCAGAATTCGCCTCTTCTGTTCATGGGAGTGGGTGGGCAGGCCAGCTTTCTTGTTCCCTCACCCTTCGAATCTACCCTATGGAGCACTGGGCAGGGCAGATGCCCGAGGGCCCCACCCAGAGATCCCTCACCTCTGGCTGCCTGAAAGTTCACCGTTATCTGTGTGAGTATAGCAGGTCAGCTGGAGAGCCGTTAGCACAGGGAATGTCCGAGAAGGAAAGGTCAGGACGCGAAAGGTCCTGGAGACTGATCTTAGACTCTGACTAGACAGGGACCCTTACCCTGCCATCCGGGACCTTTTGTTTTTTACTATTTTGACTTTGCCAGGATAATTGCTTTTTTGGTAATCTTGTGTATTTCAAGTTTTATTATGCAGATTATTCTTTTAAATTTTATTGTAATTTCAAGCCATTGTTCTGAGAAAGGTTCTGTTGGCTTCACCTGGGGCCGGAGGGATTTGGGTCAGAAGCCGGGGACTGGAGCCCTCCAGGCTCAGCCAAAGCCAGCCGGGGAAGTGCCCTGGCTCCGGTGGGACCCCCAGATGTTGTGGGGTGCTCTCTGACTGGGGGAGCTTCTGCCTAAGATGGGTTTGGGATGGGCAGGGTGATGGGGACAATCCTGACTACAGGATTTGAGGAGCCCAGAAACTTCTGGAAAGGGGACAGTGACCCGAAGCTGGCTGGGAGCCAGGGCAGCCTGTCACGTGTTATAGGGAGGGCATATAAGCTGGCAGACCTCAGAGGGATTTTCAGTTTATTCAAAGAAAGGAAAGGAAGAGGAACTGGGTGGCTCAGTGGATAGAGCCCTGGGCTTGGAGTCAGGAAGACTCATCTCCCTGAGTTCAAATCTGGCCTCAGACACTTGCTAGCTATGTGACCCTGAGCAAGTCACTTAACTCTGTCTGCTTCAGTTTCCTTATCTGTCAAATGAGCTGGAGAAGGAAATGGCAAACCCCCTCCAGTGTCTCTGCCAAGAAAGCCCCAAGTGGGGTCAGGGAGAGTTAGGCATGACTGAACATCATCGTGGTCTCAGCCCTGACAGCCCTGTTCTAAGGCTCTCCCAGCTCTGGCATTCTATATTAATCACTTAGATTTTTGATATGCTTGCTGCCTGACAAACCCTTTCCGATTCTGTGTCTTCTGACCCTTATGACTGCCCCCTGATAGGGAGACAGCAGGGGTTATTGTCTCTGTTTTTCGGATGAGAAAACTGAGTCCTAGACAAAGGGAAATGACTCACCCAAGGTCACACAGTGAATTATTAGATGAAATGGAACTGGAAGGACCCCAGGTCCCTTGAATCCCAGCCCCTTCCACCTTTGCCTCCAGCCCCACCTCTGGCTGGGGTAGTAGCAGGTGTAGGGAGATTGGAAGCAGCCCTTGCCCAGGGTGGGGGAATGATTCAGCAGGCTATAAAGTCTGGCCCCACTGGGGCACTGTAATGTGGCCATGTTCCTCCCTGGGGCTGAGAGCAAGGCCTGGGGGCAGCTACTGATGGCCTTTTGCTGGTGCCCTGCCTTGGAGGGTGAGTGAAATCTCCTTGGTCCTCCCTCCAATGGCTTGCATTTATCTCTGCCCACTTCTCACCCTCTGGGTGAGTGGGGAAGCCCACAGCAGCCCGTGGGCATGGAGGGGCCTTCATCTGGGTTTGGGGGGAGGGGCTGGCCCAGGCCCTGAGCATGAGGGAGGGAAGGAGGAAGCTCTCTCAGTCTCCTGCTTATGTGCCCCTTCCGTCTCCCTCCCAGCTGGAGGAAAGCTCGGCAGACAGTGCTGAGGTCGAGACTTTGTGAGCTATCAGGGCTCTTAGAGTCCAGGAGGGTTCTGTAGGTGGGGAATGAGGCTCTGGATGCAGTCTGTCAGAACGTAGCCTGTCAAGACTCGGGGCTCTTAGACCATACAGGAATCCCTAAGGTGGAAGGGTAGATTCTTAGAGAATGCAACCGAGACCCCCATTTGGGAAAACCCTTAGAACATCGAAGGAAGAATGTTGGAGTTGGGAAGTCCATGCAGGACCAAGGGTTTGGGGTCTGTTAAAAGGATCGGCCAAGAGTCTCTGCAGTATTCCCCAGTCATTCAATAATGTGGACCTGGGGTTTTGGCCTGCCTGAGGAGGGTCCCCGTACCTTGGAGAACTTGGAGTCCAAAGACAGAGGCCTTCCTGCTGGTTGGGGGGTGGGATCCTTGGAAAGATGGGACACGGACATGCGTACGAACATGGACACAGAGACGGACACATGGACGCACAGAGATACACACACGGACACACAGAAACACACACACAGGGTTGTCCAACCCAATCACTGGAGAGCAGATGGGGGTTCTTAACCTGGACTCCATGGATTCCAGGGAGTTTGTGAACGTGGGTGAGAGGAAATGACCAGCTTTCTTTTCATTGACCTCTAACTGAAATGGAGGGCCTTCTTCAATTATTTAAAAATGTGGTTCCCCAGACTGCCCAAAGGGACTAAAAAAGGGTTAAGAGCCCCTGCTTTCATGCCCCCTCCTTCCTGGGGGGGTGAGGTAGGGGGAGAAATTGCCTTTTAAGAGCATGTGGGCAAGGCTCTACTGAACCCTCCAGGCTCCATCCATAATGGAACACTCACTAGGCCAGTGGAGAGCCTGGGGTGAGGCGGGTGGTGTCTATGGCCTTGTGGGCAGAACTGCCCACCTTGGGCTGGGTCCTGTGAAAGCTGCCGCCTTGCCTCCTCACCCCACCCATCCAAGGGCAGTTGGCTTCCCAGCCTACTGCTTGGGCTCCGGGGGACCATCAGGGCAGCAGAGGTTCCAAAGGCCTGGTCTTTGTTTTCCCCAAGTCAGCTCCAGCTTCCTGGCCGACGATACCCTCCTCCAGGAGTACAACAGCACAGACGTTCTCCTGGCCTTGAAGAAGTCAGCCTCGCTGGATGGCTGATACCTGTGCCTGGGCAGCTGCGGGAAGGGGCGCAGCTGCCCAGGCACAGGTATTGGCCTGATTGTGTCGTCTTTGCTAGCCCGCTGAAGGCTTGTGGCTTCTCCCAGCTGGTAAGCCCGGGCTGCACGGCAGAGATGATCTGTTGGGTGGTAGGGTGTTTAGGGGGAGTTGAGGCGGCCAACCTGCCATCTCCCCCAAAATGAGTCTTGTGGGTGCTCTCGGGTGACCTCCCCTGACCCAGAACCTTGTCCACTGAGTCCATGGACTCCTCAAAATCTTATGGTTTGGTACCCAAATAGATGAGGGCTGCTGGGTTGTGTTTCTTTCTTTTTTTTTTTTTTTTGTCTTTCATGCTCAAAGAGGACCATGACATCAGGGAGCTGATGCTATGACCTGCAAGTGAATTGGATTTAAGTGAGGGAGGGCTGTGCAAAGACACCAGCCTCATTGGATCTGGGTCCAGTGGCCAGCTGTGGATCAGAATAACTGGAGATGGCCCAGGATGCAGTGGGGACCTTGGCCCTTTCAAGCTAAGGTTCTTAACAAGTCTCAGTTTGAGGCAAATCCTATTCAGCGATTAAGGCTAGGTGAGAAATGAAGCAAAGAATGGCCTCTTAAAAAATTAATTAATTAAAAAAAATAGATCTGGGAGGGGAAGACCCTCAGGGTTTCTGGCCAAAACAGAAACAATTGTTATTTACATTTGGGGCCCAAACAATGACCAAGGAACCTATCAAGGAGAGCGTGAGTAATCTGGGTTTAAGGCTGGTCTTTAAGAGAAAAGGAGAAAAAAGGGTTTCAGATTAAAAATGTACATTCCCTTTGGGCAGAGCACCCCTGATTGGCTCAGAATGAATGTAAATAACAACTGTTATCGACCTGAAAAGGCTAAGGTCCCCCGCTGAATCCTGGGCCTTCTCCACTTGTCCTGATCCATATCTGGTTACTGGATGTAGGTGGCTCAGGAGGTGAAAGTGAGGCTGGTGACTTTGCACAGCCTCCCTCACTTAAACCCAATTCAGATGAGGGCAACAATTTCAGAGAAAGCTGAAATCAATATGGGCCATGGTGGACACTCAGAATGTCCTGCTACCTGGAAATAACTTTGTTTTCCTTGGATGTGGCTTCAGGAAGACCCGAGTTCAACCTCTGTTAAATCATTTTCAATCGTGTCCAACTCTCCATGACCCCATTTGAGGTTTTCTTGGCAAAGGTATTGGAGGGGTTTGCCATTTCCTTCCCCAGCTCATTTTGCAGAGGAGGAAACTGAGGCAAACAGGGTGAAGTGACTTGTCCAGGGTAAGCAGCTAGTAGGAAGAAAAATAGCATGTACATAGATAAGGGAGAGAGAATACTCACTAGGAACATGAGTGAAAGCTTTATGGAGGAGGCGGCAATTAAGCTGAACCTTGAATGAATGAAACCAGGGATTCCAAGGTATGGTGGTAAGGAAAGAGTATGTACCACGCATGAAGGACGGAACTGGAATGTTGCGTAAAAGAAATGGCAGAGGCCAGCTTGGCCAGACTTTAGAGCAGGTTGGGTAAGAAGAAAGGCCGCGAGTATTTATTAAGGGCCTGCTGTTAGGGGTGTAATATAAAAAGGGGACAAGTGAGAGCCAGATGGTGAAAGACTTTAATGCCTGGCTGAAAAATGGGTATTTTATTCCAGAGATAATAGGGAACCACTGGAAACACACACACACACACACACACACACACAG